GCTAGCTGATTGGTGCGGTTCAAAAACTATTGACAAGGGTTTTGAAGTCATGGTCATAAACTAGATCATTATTTAAATTGAAACAACGTTAGAAGTGCTGAAATTAGAAGATGTCATATACAAATACATACGTAACGTTGTACTTGTACTACTTAAGAGCGAAAAACTAAGAAGCCGGACTCAGTGGCCATTTAAAAAATAACCATGTTGGCTGAGATGGCTGACATAATAAATGTACATACGAGTATATCGAAAGCACAACAAAGCTAATATTATGGTATTTCTGGGCATTTGGAGTGGGCAATGACTAAATGAATAAGGCGGCCTACATGAATATTTTGAAAGAATATTTAGTTCATGGTTCTGAGAAATTGGAATTAAAGGGTCGGAAATGGGTGCTCAACAAGGCTATGGCTCTATACACTCCTCATTACTTATTTATCGCTATAAATAGCTCACAGTCACCAAATCTGAATTCCATTGAGCAAATAAAAAGCCATTATGGGCACTGAGAAAGCCTAATAAAGCTTCAATACTGTCAAGGCCAAGAGAGGGAGCCAACTATAAGGGGGCTTCAATTAGGAAATACAAGGTGTGTTCCAAAGCAAACAGGACTTTTAAAAAAGAAACAGAACAAATGGTTTTTTCGGCAAAGTCAATTTATTTTATTCAAAATAGTCTCCTTCTGCTTCAATACTTTTGGCTTTTTGCACGATCCAAAAGCATGTCGAACGAGTGTTTTAGCTCGTTGGCCGGCATGGCCGCCAGTATGCCGGTGCAAAGCCTTTTGAATGGCCTCTACGTCTGCATAACGCTTTCCTTTCATGGGCAAATGCATTTTTCCGAAAAGGTAGAAGTCGCACGGTGCCATATCAGGTGAATACGGCGAGTGGTTAATGGTTAAAATGTGATTTTTGGTCAAATAATCGGTCCCAAGCGTCGATCGTCTGAGCTATTTTTGGTCGTCAGTCAATTTGTGCGGCACAAACCGTGCACACACCTTTCGTAAGCCCAAATGTTCGGTCAAAATGCGATAAGTCGATGTTTCGGAGATGTTCAATTCCATTTCCATCAATTTCAATGATGATTTCGGCTGATTTTTGATGAATTCACGCACAGTTTCGATGGAATTTTCGGTGATCACGAATTTTGTTGATCGTCATTTATGTCCTCACGACCAGTTTGGAAACGTTGAAACCACTCGTGCACTCTGCTACGGGATAGGCAATCATCGCCATAAACTTGTTCCATCAATTGAAACGTTTCGGTAAAAGTTTTACCAATTTTGAAACATTTTCGCACCGATAACACAAACATGCTGACACTTAAAACGCAATAACTTCACTTCCAATCGATGAAATCGATCAGCATAGCAGATTCTAACGTACCAGTCGACATATAGATAGCGCCACCAGGGGGCGATAGATTCAAAAAGTCCTGTTTACTGTGGAATTGACAAAATTCCATAATCGATTAAAAAATTACATTTTTTTTTTTGCTGTAATATTAAGTAAAATGGTCCATAAACAAAATTCAACAATTTGTTTCTCGATTATTTAATTTGATGAAAAGTTATGCTCAAGTAAATTTTAAAAATAGAGATGTGTCAATATTTGTTTGCCTAAATGTGGTTTGATCTAATTTTTGAAAAGTTGTCCATAAGGAATGTGATAAGTAATAATAAAAATATAGTTTTATCTAGGGATAGGTGCGTAAAATTAATAAAATTACAAATGAAATAGATTTACATTTCATTACAAAAATATAAAAACATTTCAAATAAGTATAAACAAAACAAAAGAACTACAGCCCACAACTAAAATAACGTCACTGTTGGTACAAAAATTACGTCAGTTGGATGACCATAAGCTGAAGATTAAATTTGTTCCTGCTAAAGAAATAGTAAGTAGGCAGAGATCCTGTAATGTTCAATGCTCAACCAATGGTGTAGCAGTTATGCACATTTTGCAATAATCCACTTATTTTTGTTAAGCTCAATTAGAAACGAGAAAGCAAGACGTCTAGGTGGGCCTTGTGTCAAATCAGTTTCATTCCTTCTACAGACTTGTTGCTTCCTTGTAGAAATGTAGACGCAAATGCTTATGTAACGGCAGCTGGGTACACGGTCCGCAATCAAAATCCACTTGCTTAGCGCACAACCGGCTAAGCCGATAATGGGAATTACGTTCATTAATGCCAGCAACCAATAAGTCATGCCTTTATTATTTACTCTTGCGTGTCTGCTTTCCTCGGTTCGCGCCACTTACTCACATTGTGGCCAAACATTCTGTCGTTGGGGGGGAGGGGAAGGCGCAGGAATTGCGCAATTTACTTGCGCCTTGGCACTTGCCGGCAAGTGAGAACTCTAGAGCCTCTGCGAATGGCGATGCCATTGCCATGCGGCTCCGCAGTGCTGCCGACTTTTCACACCTAATTTCATTAAGTAATATTTCATATTGCAACTTTTATTGAGTTTTGAGCGTGCACGAGTATTTGTGAGGAGGAGCGCAAGACACAGGCAGGAAAAATTAACTCAAAGTGCGGAGGAAGCCAGAGAGAAGAGCGTACCGTTAAACAATATGCCCCAGCCTTTTATGAAGGTTTAAGTCTCAAGTATCTGGCAAGTGCTGCACTGTCGGATATATTAAGTATACGCAATGTGTTTCCGTGAAATTTGCCATTGTATGTCGCTGAGTTCTTCGGCCCCTTTTGTTCCACTGCAATTCTGTTATACATTCGCCCATTTTGTGCTTTTGTTTGGCCCCACTTGTTGCGTCGACTTTATCCTTCGTTTTGTCTGGTATTGTGCGCTTTTGCCGTTCGTCTTTATTATTACCGTTCAGGCGGTCTGTCTTTTGTTTGACTTGCTTTATTTATTTTGTATGGCATTCAAAAAGTAAAACAATTTGTGTTTTTCAATTTGTACTGCACTTTGTTTTGTACGTATACGTGCATTTGTGCTAGCTTTTCTTATACTATAATTGTTGACGAAAGCCATAAAATAAATTAAAAACTCTATTCTTTGGTTAGCCACATTTAATGTCATTGTTGTTATGATGTGCATTCATTCCTATTGCCCTGGTCCCAAACAACGCGGGTAATGTGGCTTAACGGCAATGTTAAAAACTATTCATTTAAAAAAGGTCGCAGCCAATAAAATCGCGGTCAAATGTCGAGCATTAATTGTTTGGCTTTCCAGTTTGCACAATTTAATTTTAAACCACTCTGGGGCTCAAATGACGCGTGGCCTGCTCAATTCAGTTTCTGCCGACTGCAAATGAATTACTAAAAAATAATTTACAAAAATTCAAGTTCTACCTGCCGTAAATTCTACTGCACAAAAATAACACAAAATAACAAAAAACGGCTTAACCCATTGTAGATCTAACTGAAAAAACATCAACAAAACGTAATAAAGCTCATGCACAGGAATTGGATTGTCCAGTGATGTCCATTTTGTTTACTCTCTCTCCACAATGTGTATTTTCAAGCAACGGCATATAAAATCCTTGTCCTGTTGGGACTGTTACGTCATTGTTTTGAAGGGCAAATGGAGTGCAATGAAATATTCTGATATTTACCAAAAATTCCGTGCTGAATGACACTTCAGTGCGGCTGCAATGCAAAAAATATTAGCAGCTAACACACACACACACACAGGTTTTGTGTGCACTCCGTAATGGAATAATACGTAGAAATACGATTTCGTTTTGTGATTGACAAGGTTTTTATTATTTAAAGAGAAACCATTTTAAAATTTGGAAATATTTTAGTACAATTTACAATTTTTCAGTTCCGCAAATAATTTGTCTTGCTTTGAGTCGAGGCTTTAAATGATGATTTTTTAACTTTTTAAAGCTTCGTCTACGGTATTGACGAAATTGCAAAGAGTAAAAAGGGGAGTAACAGTTGCAAAAAATTAAATAAATATTATTCCGAAGTTTCACTCTTCAATATCTTGGTGGCTATTAAAAACAATGATTATAATCTAATTGTTGACCATTAGTCTGAATAAATGAACAAATTATAAACAATGACAGATTTATAGAATGGCTGGCAGCTTATAGAAGCTCGTTTGATTTAAGTGCTCTACTCTACATTTAATGTCGTGGATCTATGTATGTATGTATGTATGTGCTACATTTCTATACTCAATTTGTTAACTTTTGCAAATTAAAACTTTTGATAACTCGAGAAAAGTAAGTTGCTGCCGTTAATTGAAGCTGTGCGCTTGACTAAGTATATAATAAGAGCATCAAGGTCTAACGGCGGCTGATTAACCCGTCGGGAGCCGCAAGTAGAGCGGCTTAGCGGGCCCACCGCATCGTAATTATCTTGATGAGGTCCACCGCGACAGGCCATTCGGCCCAGTGGACAAGCAGCTAAGCAGAATCTCGATGGCGCCGTCTGTTTGGAGGGTTAATGGGTTGTTGGCCGGTTCGGTTTTTGGCGTGGTGGCTTTTGTGGCCGGCCTGCTTCGGGGTCGGTGGGTGCGTGGGTTGGTCCATTGGGCTCATCAGCCCGAAGAGCAGAAATTAAGTTATGGACGGCGGTGCAGAATGCTTGACATGTCCTAAACTAAATGAAAACAAAAATGAACGCGCGTCAGTCGCAAATTGATGAAGGAGTAACATAATAACTTTGTCAACGCACAAATTGGAATTTATGGGCTCTTTGCTCTTTGTGCTCGCCCACGTCCACTTCAGGCGTAAGGATGCCACTTGGTGTCGCCATTGCCAGCGCTGATGCCGAGCGGGGCCAATGGCCGTGGTGGTCTAGACTTGTGCTAAACAAAGCGCATAATACGTGCCAAGTGCCAGTTCAAGGGTTATGGAACACGCCCACCTCTCAGGCGGTCCAACGGTCGAAGGACGAAAAGGAAGTGGAAAAAACTTTGCGGTCAGTTTAAGTGCTTTTAAAAGACCATTAACGTCATTTCCCGCAACTGTCAGCCTGCATGCCGACGCTAGCCGTCATTCTGCCTTTAAAAACGCACTCGGTATGGAGTAGATGCATCATGGTACATACAAGTATTTATATAATAAGCGTATTTAACAAAAATTTGATCAGAACAGCGAGTATAGGTGAATGGTAGTTGGTTGTCCGTTCAATCTTGGGACTACTTCGTTTTCATTTCTGAACAAGGGCCCATAGGCGGCTCATTCTCCACGCAAACATATTTGGAGCACTCGAAGGAGTCGGTGCTCTCGATAACGGGCATGCCGGTCTGCCGCATGCACGCGATTGGGATCTCCACTTTGCATACACCGGGCTTGACGCGTTCCTCTGCCGCCATTTTGGTGATCCTCATGCAGTTGCGTAAGATATCGTTGCGGTCGGCCTCCTGCTCCTTTCGACACTTGTCGCGACGCTCGTACTCCTTCCACTTGCGCTCTGCCTGGGCATAGTAGCCGGGCCAGCAGAAATCACGCAGCTGGCTGCGCTGAATACGAGTACGTGGCGGCTCCAGGGAGATGTTATTATCGCGCTTGTACTTCTCAACAGCCCTGGCTATGGGATGCAGCGGTCGACCCACCTCTTTCGATTGCTTCATCATATCTGCCGCCTGTTGGAAGAAATATTTGTCGTTGGCCAGATGTGGGTCCACTTCGCAGGAACTGATGCGCATTAATTCATCTCGTTTGCGCTCTAAGAACTCTGCACGTTGTCCGTAGAGTACTTTCCTCAGGTCAGCCATCTCTTTATTTCGCTTGCGCCGCGTCGATGCCTCAAACAGTTTGTTCGCCTCAGCGTTCTTCAGACGCTGCGCCATCTCGAAACGTCGCAACTCCATCTCGCGCTCGCGTTTCTTCTCGGCCCGCTCCTGCTCCTCCTTCTGGTAAGCCCTGCGCTGCTTGGCCAGCTCCTCCAGCTGGCACTGACGTCGCTCATCGTCAATGTGCACCTCTGCCTCGTGACGTTCCAGTAACTGTGCCTCCAGCTCCTCAGCCTTCCGCTTACCCTCTTGTTGCATCTCATGAACTCGCATGGCACGTGCCTCCCGCTCATTGAAATTAGTATATCGTATATGGCGGACATGCTTGTTATACCGGGAATCGAGATTACGATGCGCCACTTGGACGACACAGTTCCGGCGATCGTCGATGGCGTCGCACACACGGTCACCTGTGGCAGATAAATAATGTCTGTAATTAGCGTATTTTACAAATATGCTATATTATCATAAGAATCGAAAAAACATGGATAAAAAGCTGAAGCGGAAGCTGAACAGCTGCGAAATTTAGGAATATGCTAATGCTTAACTCGGACAGATAGGCATATACAAATATTCTGATCGTATTATATAGTACATCCGATTACATTAAATGAATATTAAATAAATCAAATATTAAATAAAAAATTCTTTAAAAATGTCGCTAATCCTAAAATGGGAATGGGCCCCAAAGTTAAACGAGATTTGTTTCTAACTCTAGATTTTCCAATGTCTGTAAAACTACTTAAGGGCTTTTCAGATTTAGTCCACCCAAGCAGCATCTTTATCTACACAACAATTTGGTAGTATTGCGAATACTTACGTTCGGCTAGTGCGGCCTTCTCCTTGAGCGAATCGTGGTAGGCACGACGGCACTGCTCCCGCTTGCGTTCCTTAAGCTTTCGTGCGGCGAGTTCCTCTTCTTCGAGGCGGCACTTGCACTGCTCCCGCTCCACGATGCCCTCAAAGAGTTCCTTATCCTTCTGCTCGAGCAGAAGCTGTCGCTTTGTCTCAACATCCTGCAGTATGGCGTCGCGCAGGGCCAGGGCCTTTTCTTTCTCTTTGGCCTTCAGCTCCTCTTCGGTCATACTCGTGAATGGTATGAGCGTCTCTGGACACTGTTCCATCTCCAGGCGCTGCTGGCGATCGGCTGCCTGAGCAAACTCCCGATTGAGCTGTTCGTTATATTTGCGTTGATGCAACATCTCGCTCTCAAGCAGGGCCCGATGGAGGGCAAGCGGTCCCTGCTTCATATTTTCAAGAATTTCAGTGGCGCGCTTGATACGCTCCTTGCGCATTCGATCATTAATGCGCCTGGTCTCTAGATCTACTTCTATTTCCTTCAATTCATCGTTCTCCTTCTTATGAAGCAGCTCCTTTTCGTCTTGCTTGGCATTGAGAACGCCAGTGAAGAGCTTCACCAGCGCTGCATTTCCATCCTTGAGGTACTGCTGGTATCTTTTCTCCTCTTCCGCAGCCTCCTGCATGGCCAGCTTTTCAGACTGATTGGCACGCGATAGCATGCCATCGTAGCGCTGGGCAGAAACTATAACAGGATATTGTGATTTGCTTTTTTTGTGAATTTGAAAGGACGTGAGTACAGGCTTTGCCTTGCAACTCAGCATTTTTATTGCAAAATATGATTTGTGATTTTAACAAATGGAGTTTAACTTATGTGCGTATTTTGGTGTGTAACTATTCGATTGATGAAATGACGACGCTGCCTACTGAGCTCCAAAAGACTTACATAAGTCAAAACGAATTGTCTTTTTGAAAGAAAAATCTGTATTGCGAATTACTTGTATAATAAGTAGTAAGGCCACTTAATAAAATCCTCAAGCTAAAGTGAAGACAGCTATGGGAATGACAAGGAAACAGCTCTACTCGAAGTGCATCTTCTCTCTCTCAAACCACAATTGGTGGTCAACTAGGCTAGCTTAAACTTTTCCATTTAATAAAAGTTGAGCACAAATATCAGAGCACTTACATGAATTAAGCTTCCATAAGCCTTTACCAAAAACACATTGACATGCATGCACAATAATAAATAAATGATATCTGTAACATTAGCTTTCATCTGCGCATATTTATGAATGTTTCTGGATGTCCTTTGTGGTTAGCTTGGTCTGTATTTAAACAAAACCCAAGCCATTACGCCGAGTGAATAAATTTAAACGCCAGCTGACCCATGTCCTACCCAATTAGGTGATTATCCAAAAGAGAAAAAAAAAGGAGAACGAGGAAGAAGTATGGCTGCTCCAAAGGCACAAAGGTCAAATTCATGAGAGTTTGAAACTTTTTTATGTTTGGATTTCGTTGACTTTTTCCACTTGAACGTGATGCTCTGCTCACTGCCCGCAATTAGATAAACTTCAATTAGTGTTCTTTGGTTCTGGGCTACTTAATCAAATTAGAGAAAACACAGGGGCTCCGATAAGGCCAAACGCTGCCACGCCACACGCAATTCTCGGCAAGCGTCAAATTGAACAAAAAGTCAAATGGCACACGAATGTGAATCCGAAATGGGCGAAGACGAAGGAAACGCGTCACGCAGTGGAGTTGATTTTCATTGGAAATTGCTGGGCGTGAATTTGCTCGCGTAAAATATGACTCTGGTCATGTCGTTTGGGCGTTTGGGCGTTTAGGCGTTTAGGCGCCCAGGCGTTTGGGAGCGAGGTTTGGTCGGCTGCGAGGGGCAAAACACCGGCGATTATTGTAACAAAATGCAGCAGGGCATGTAATTTCGCTTGGAATACGCAGCGGGATTCTCGAATGGAAATTCAAACTTGAATCCCAAATTCAGATTGAGATTCAAATTGCCCAAAGAAGCTGCCAACACGGCGCATGCAAAAACTTTTCCTCCTCCCCCTCTGGTTCGCATGCTCTGATTTCTGTGGGGTCTGTGGCATCATTGTCTGTTGGCTGCTGAAAATTGTTTTGTGAAAATTAGTTTTTAAACTTTTCGCTCTTCTTTTTTCTGTATTTTTTTTTTTTTTTTTTTTTTTGTCTGTATGCGAAGTAAAAGCTAAACGCAGTATGCGAAATTAATTTGCATTTTTGGCCGGTTCGCATTGTTAGAGTGTTCCTTTTTTGGGCTAATAAAAATCAAATTTGAAAAATTTTTAATTTATTTAGGTTTTCCTTTCCTTCTTCTTCTTTTTGCTGTTGATATTTCGATTACAAGTTTTTGTATGCATGTATAGATCGTTCGTGTTTTCGGTGTAATTGAGATTTTTTGGGTCAGCATTTTGTAACTTTTTAAATTATTTTGATGTAATTGCTTTTGAATTGCCGCCTTAACAGTGACAGAGAAAAGTTCATCTGTGAACGATGCTTTTGGGCATTTCGTGATTGACTTTAAATTATGAATAAAGGAAAGACTTCAGTTGCTCATTATTTCAAAATATGTATTTAAAATGAAAGTCTCATTGGATAGTTGGGTTGTTGTTTTCAAATGTGTTTATTTGATTTTATTTCATATGTCATATTAGTAGACTATGTATATCTGATATATTTGTAATATTGCGTTATATACATATCAATATTTTATATTCTACGCTAAATTATAGTTATATTCAATTCTTTTTCTTTAGCTACCGTCATTTATCTACAAATTAAAAGTCCTTTAATATACTCGTATGTTTTAGGTATGAATAGTCAGCTCGATTTTTATATCTACGCTATGAACTGTTCATTGAATTATATAATTAAGTTAGGTTTTGGAAACTAGAAACAAATTATGTAATTTTTATTATCTAAATTGAGCAATAGAATCCTCTCATGGAATTTGGTATCTTTATGAGCCGGACTGACATCTGATAACAAATCCTTGAAATAACTTAGATTTAAATGTTTGCCACATTTAATGCTTGGACAGTTTTACGCAGCTCAGCTAACTAAATTGTAAAAATATGTCAAAGTCTCAGCATATTATTTCACAATTACAATTTTACAGATATACAATATATATGTATGTAAGTTGCTTGGATATTTATATAGTAAGTATATACAGACACAAACACTTCACAAACACACAACATTCAGTAGCTTATTTATTTTTGCTGTTCGCTTTTCAAAAAAGAGTATCACAAACATACAGAACACTTATGAAGGGTAACATTTATGGCTTATGTAAATATTAATGATTCATTCCTAGTGTCCCTTGTGGGATCAGAAATGTTTGCTACCTATACTAGAAACCAAAAAAGAAATCACCTTTTAATATCTTCCAGAAGTGATAAATTATTAAGCTGTTAAGATTTGCAACATGTTGTTAACCTCTGAAAGAAATTGGTTCCTGGATTCAGTTGACAAAATCATTGGCTCAAAAGTGCTTTAAAATGTATTCTTACGGGTAACACCTATCTATAGTAGACATTTCCTTCCAATATTCTTTACACATATTCTATGGTGTCATTCTCCAGGCTTCGAGCAACTCCTGGATATTTTCTAGAAGACTAGTTGAAATTGTTTCCAATTTATTTTAAGCAGCGTCCTAAACCTTAGTGAATACTTGTTATTTTTTTTACACGATATACATACAAGTACATATACGATGCGACCAAAAAGTGTTAGCTATGCTGTGACATACAGACAGATGGACACACACACAAACAAAATATATTAGTTACTCAGTTAATCCTATTGCATTTACAAAATATGCAAACCAATCTCCATGTTTACTTCCGATACTCGGCCAAGGGCAGGTCTGTTGCAACTGTTGTCTGCTCACCACCACCTTTTCCGAAACCACCGCCTCCGAGCAGCGATGGCGGCGGACTGTGGCAAGCGACGCGCACGCGACTCAGACGCAAACCGCTGGTGTGTTGTGGTTGGCTGAGGGGCAAGGTGAGGGGCTTTGTGTGCGCCTGGTGGTGCAACGGATGGTGGGCGCATTTGGAGCGCGCTATCTGGCTGTTGGCGAGTATTACGTCTTCTGCGTACTAAATGTCCGGAATGCTCCGCCCAGCTGCAAGCTTGGCGGCTGTGGTTGAGTCTCCAGTGAGGCCGCTGTTGGCCTTACTCTTCGCGCAGTGGGCATCATGGAAGAGATGCTCGCACAGCTTGGGCTCCGAGTTAGAGAATTTGCTGAGCTCGGCGGCAGTGGCTTCTTGCGTGGATATGTGTAGATTAAGATCGCTGTGCTTGCTGAATGACGTCGTCATAGTGTTGGTTGCGCCGGAGCCCGATACGGCGGCTACCTGGTGCTGCTGTGGTTGGTGGTGCGTGTGATGTCCGGCATGGTGGTGGTAAGGCATATGTGGGATGCTCTTCTGCATGGCATTCAGGTTGCCTGAGCTGACAGTGCGTTCGAGTATCTCGCCCCAATACTTTTCCGACAGTCCCTCGATATCGGGTCGCACAGTTGCGTAACCACCGCGCTGGTGGCTATGACTGTGGTGAGCACCACCACCCAGTGTACCTCTGATGTACTGTGATGCGCTGCGACTGAGGCTATTGGCACGAGAACGTGCACAAATCCCTAGTACTGAGCCACCAATGGTGCTACCAATCCCTCCACCGCCACCACCTGCCCCTGCACCGTTGCCACTACCGCCAGTATTGGATGTGGGTGGTCGCGAGGAGGGCGGCTCGGGTGGCATCGGAAGTGTTGTGATTTCAAAATCGTTTGCATTGATGTGACAACAAGCTGATTTGTGCTCGGGCGTATCCTCATTGGGGAAGCACTGAAAAATGAACAAAGAAACAAGAGAAAGGGGGAGTGAGGGCAGAAACTCAGGTCGTCAATGAGAGCATAAATCAGGCATCGATTTCGCTTTTGATTTCAGTAACACTCGTTGTTTTAGCCGGAAACATCAACCAAATTAATAAGCATTTTGAACTCCCCTTTGTCCGTCAGTACACCCCTGGGAATCCCATAAATTTGAACAAATGTCCCCCTTCGAGTTCTGCTGTTCGGAAGTCAATCATGCAACATGACTGCGTTTCTAAAATTGAATTTGCTGAATTTTGTATGAGCTTTAGTGCTCTGTTCTGACATAAAATAGGGCGGGCTTGGCGCCAGTAGACACCGTCTATCATGTAAATGCCGCATTGTGTTCTCTGATTCATAATTCAAAATCCATTCTCACAATTGTTGTTGGCGCGCCGAAGCACGTCTCCTTTGCCTTGCACCTATTATATTGGATTCATGTCCAGTGGTCTGTCAATGTGTGTTCTATCTGGCTCTACGTTTGTACTCCTTTTAAAATTAGCTTGTACTTGTATGATTCACGAAATAGAAACTACAAGTATATTGTGATTTTTACTGTAGCAGCAAGTGCTGGGAATGATTTCTTTTTAAAGATATTCTTGAAATACCTATTGGAGAAATAGTATGCCTGCCAAAAGTTATGTGATGTTTTTCCTTGTTTCGAATGTGGGAAATATTTGAAATTGGTTTGCAAACAACAAATCAATTTGCAGATTTTTCAATACGTGGACTGTATGCTTTTTTTTTTAGCAAATATAAATGAATCTACACTCACTTTGTTTGGCATCAACTGACGGCTCAGACGCCGGAAATCGGAATTCAACAGCCAATACATGAAGGGATTCCACAAGCTGTTGCTTAAAGCTGTCCAAGTGACCACAAAATCCAGGAACGGAGGCAGCTGTTAAATTTGAAACACACGAACAAACAATCGACCAAATCCAGCAGAGGAGAAAAAGTTGAATGGCATGGCATGTGGAAAGCAAAATGAAAGAACACGTCAAAGTTTAGTGGTTTGATTACGTATGCGTATCGGTGTAGCATGTATAAACATATATGTATATGAATTTATATCGATGTGTGTGTTGCCGCTTGCCTTGGATCCCGTGCACGCAGTGACAATCTCCTGAATGGTCCAGGGTGTGACCATAACAATGAAACCCAATGAGATGGCCGCCATAGAACGTGACGTGGAACCAGCCGAGTTCTTCTCCTGTATGGGCACAATCTGCAAAAAACGTCGACCGTTTAACAATATAATTAGGAATGTCGTATGCAATTTGCAACAAAAACTAATTGGGTCACCTTTTTGGTAATCTTATTTGTCATACTCGGCATGCCAGCCAGGCCCATGCTCATGGCCATGCTCAGATTCATGACTGGCGTGGTGGTTGGTCCCAACCCGTGGTGGTGGTGATGAGAGTGGTGCGAGTGTCCATGTCCGTGGCTGAACGGATGATGTGACTGGTGCTGCTGATGATGCTGTTGTGACTGCTGAGGCGGATGGTGTGGATGCGGATGATGTACCGCTGCGGTCAGCGGCATTGTCGGATCGTTCAGCCGAAAACGGCTCATGTGGAAGCTGGAGCCATAGCAGTACATGAGGACCATGGTCGTGGGAAAATAGAGCGCACATGTGGCTAAAATGCGGTACGATGGCTTGCTATAAAACGGCTCGCAGGCCATTAGGCCCGTGTTGTTGAAGTAATAGCCTTTGAAAATACAATGAAATATAAGTATAACTGTGCACCTCACAAATACATATATATACACACATACTATACTATGTAGTATACTATGTAGTATGTGTGTGTATTTGTGGGTCATTAGATGAAATACTGGCGACTCACCTTTGGGCAGCACGAGGAAGCCAAACACTGTCAGGCTGATTATCCAAGTTAAGCTAAGTATAGCAACACAACCCTGCAAGAATTGAACACCAAAATGTTTCGATTATTTTCAGACACACCACACAAACAGTTTATGCATGTATAGAATGCATAACTATCTACTTGTAGTTCGGCTTATTGTGGTCTGCCAGTTGCTGTCAAAGTGTCCCCATTTCGACTGCCCATTAGCTAGCTTTAGGCTCCCGATTGGCGCCATTTGGTCATGTGATTTATGACTCCCGCTCATGTAGAGCTTTTGTGACTCTACACGCCCATTGTTGTGGAGCTCAAGTGAATTTGATGCATCCCAGTTGTTTGTATTGCACTGGACTCTGCTACTACCTTCTACTCTCGGATCAGTCCCCTGGAATCGTCTTTCAAACGCCGGTAGCTTTTGTGTACTCCAGTTCGTACTTACTATGGAAAATTGTGATTGCGTGCTTGGCATTGACATCGCCTGCCCTGCCCATCAGCATGTATTGATTGTTTTAGGCTTAATTTTGTAAAACTGGCCATTTTAAAAACCATAATAGTAAAAACCAAATAAAGCTCATGCTGTTAAGAAATGTTCTCAATTAAATCCTAATCAATTAAATTTAAAATTTTTAAATAATTTTAAGGAAGAAAAGTACAATCAAGTGATTAGCTTCGATTGAAAAATTGCAAAATGAAAAAGAAGAAAGCAAATATAAATTAAAAGAACAATTGAAAAATTATTAAAATTGTTCATGGAACGCATTGTTGCCTGAACGAATAAAACAAATGAATAAACAAATTTGAATTGTTCATGAATAACAAAAATATTAAAAAATTGAATCATTAATGAATGCGCATCAAATGGCGAACAAAGTTCACAAATCAGAAAAAACAAAGAAAATTTGTCTCGAATTGAACCAAGCTCTCTACCAAACTTTTCAATTGTATGAAAATGTTACAAACATCATCATATTTTTTTTGAAACTTCTCTAACTATTTCAATGAAAAATTTTAAATTGGAAATACAAAACTGACTTGGTTCAGAAGTCAGAGAAAATAATTGGGATTATTTACTAATTGAGACGAAAACGATGAAGCAAACATTTTAATTGTTTGCCAATTGCTCCTTGAAAGGATACAAAAAATAAAAATCAATATTAAAGAATATAAAAATAAGATCCGTAAAAAAGGTACAGATTCTTAATGGAAACAAAGGAACCTTTCTAACAGCGTTGTTCGTCGCTAATCAAAAATCAAAACCGAGATGTATGCATTTCTTTGAACAAATAAAAATTGTTGCATGTTTCTATTCCCATGAAATTGTAGTTAAGCAAACGCTATAGCATAGGGGGAAAAAAGCAACGGCCACATGCAGGAACTCCAGCGGATTTATTTATTTTTTTACGAGATGCAGATGGATTCTGAAACGTGGACTGACACGTGCGCAAATAATCGCTTTAGGTTCTATGCATAGCTAGATAAAAAGCACGGGAGGGGGTTAGGGGGTTGTATTTGAAATGAAGTTTTCCTCCGGCGAGTTGGTGGCCACAGTCGAATACTGCCGACATCTGTGGCTTCCGCTTTTCATACTCAGCTACATTAAATATTTATCCTTATTTTTGTATTCCCGCTATATTGTCTTCCACCACTACGTTCATATTTTGCATTATATTCAGAAATTATTTGGATGTGGCTGGAAAAAGTTTATCATAAAATGGCGTAAATTAAATAAATAAAATATGCCAGCACGCTGTAAAATGTCTAAAGTTTTGTGGCTATTTACGTAGCTCTACGCTATTTTCTATTGTCTCAGTGCATGAGAATTGTTCTCATTTTCCACTCACACTGTCAAGTCAACAGTGAGTCCGCTGGCAAGTTAGGAGTTGATGCAGCTTTTCAAAAATGTTTTGCTTTGAGTATTTGTTTTTCATTTTTGTGGTCTGCGGCAAGTTGTTTTTTCAATTTAATTCAATGCATTTAAGCGCCTAAGATGATAGTTGTGTTTCAATGTTGCTTCAATTAAATAAAGTTTCACTTATTTTACAAGCCCCTGAGGAGTTTATTAGCTACGCAAAACTGTGTAAATAACTAATGCAGAACCTTTTGCTTAGACAATGAAATGGCAAACTTCGTCTTTAGTATGATTTTATTGTAATCGATCTAACTTGAAAAGTACAATTTGCAAATTGAAAATGCATTCTGACATACCATGACACTCAACTGTTTGTAAAATCAATAAAAGAATTATAGCTATTTTTTGAAGTTTTGCTTTGCATCTTGTGTAACTGTAAATAAATACTGAAACAACTTTAAATGAATTAAAAAAGATTATGGTTCGTTGATAATGGCATGCCTTGCACTTGCAACTTTAAATGGATTTAAAAAAAATAATAGTTTGCTGAATGTGGCATGCCTTGTTGTAACTTTTATTACCACAAATTAAACAACATAAATTACAATTTTTGTTGAACAAATGAGTTGCAATTTATGGCAGTTGGCAAAGAAACAACCCTTCAAAATCGCAGCCGCCCATCTTGCCTTCCCTAGAAAAAATAAACGAAAACTTCGTAAGTGCTTGCCGCCAGCTCTCAATTCGTTGCCATTATGAGGAAATTTTGTGCGCCAAGAAAATGCGTAGCTTAAAAGTCGGCAGAACCAGATGGAGAGTTAGAGTCAGCATCCATTTATTAATTTTCGACAGCACACACTTTATTACAAAAGGGGCGCGGCAGCTTTCCAATTTCTCCGCCTTTTTATATCGTACATTCTGCCCAGCCCAGACCAACTGCATGGCAGCCCCTATAGATTCGTTGGCCAAAATATTTGCATACGTTCGAGGCGAACTGAGCCACGCAATTTTATGCAAATATTTTCAACTAATACTTTTCCTTTGTTCTTTCTTTTTTTGCGTTTTTTTTCTCTGCGTATCGCTTGGTCATATATTTCCCCATTTTAAGCCGCCAAGTATTGAGTACTAATAATATTTGCAATACGTATTTCTATTGGTTTTTATGCATGCTTTAATGGGAGCACTGAACTTTAATAAGTGCCCGCAAATTTTGCAAATTTATCTACACGTCGTTATTAAACCAAATTGGCCAACTTGCGCAAGTGCATTTGAATTTTAGCATTAAAGTGTTATTTGGGTTATTTTAAATCGGGATGTCATCTCACATCCCCTTAGAATTTAGCCCACTATAAATTCACACTTATGACCAAAGGTAGCGAATTAAAAGCTTAAATCAAAAATTATATTGCATTTTATCTTTACTGACAATCACATTTTAATAAAACCTGGTCGTAGACCCAGTAATTTTCAATAGATGAAGTTTGCCCTACAAAATAATACTTGGGGTCTGGCATAGCCCAACGAGCTAATGAAAATTAAATAATGTGTGTTTCTTCCTGAGTATGATTCGGTTCGAATCACGGCGCTATTATCATCGCATAAAGCCCTATTTTAAAAATTACTTACACAATTCTGTAAGAGTGGTCTCATATTTAAAAATGTCAAACTGTCGTGTTATGGGCAACTCTGCTGGCCGATTTTTAACATAATAATAAAAAATATATATATCTGCAAGAACTAACTGGCCTGCGCGTCAAACTTAGAAAGTTGCGCCATAAAAACTGCCAACTCTTTGTAAGAGCATTATTATATTCATTATTTATATTTACGTTGTGCTGTCGAATTATCAAGAAAAACAAAAAAATTTTACCATCTACTTAAAAGCGCGTTTTAATGCTTATTATCATACTGAAGGAAGCACGCAAGAAAAAAGGGAAAAAATTCAGTACAAATTTCGCGTCGACGTGGTTGTATAAGTACGACTATATAGCATGACATACGATGGCGGGCTGTCCGACCTCAAAATTATTTCCCTCTGCTTCCGTACACTTTTGCTAGCCCATTTTTCGGCGCTGCTGTTTGTTGGCCCATAAATTATGATGTGAGTGTCTATGTGCGCATATGGGGTGTGTGGGTGAGTTGTATGCCAGAGAGCTGGACAGTTGGACAGCTGGACGCGGACTGTACGGTTAGGCGGCCATGGCCATGTCGCTCGCCTCGTTTGCTGCCCATGCTCTTTGCCTCATGCGGTTTTGTGGACAACGGCACTGCTTCATTTGCCTGACTGGCTGACCCTCTCCCCCCTCCCCCTCCGCCTTCTGTGGCCAGCATGCTCTGTTTCCTCGTCGTCGTGTCGCATTTAGTTAAAGTCATTGCGCGCAAAAAAAAACCAGAAACCGACAGCTTTTTATCTCTATTTTATACACAACTTTTTGACTACTTATGCCATTTCACTTGTTTTGCTTGCCTTGCTCTTTCATTCTTCATTTGGTTGTTGCTGTTTTGGCACCGTTTTGGTTTCTCCGCTTTTGTTTGTATTTGCTTAGTTTCGTGTACGCTTTACTTTTACTTTACTTTTTTAATGACTGCCAAAGCTTACTACAGCCCATTATCCTTATTTATCTGCGTAATTGGCTCGTTCTGTAGCTCTGTAGGTTATTTTGCTGTTCGTGCTGCGCTTCCCTCATGCTGTATTGTTGTCGTTGTTGTTTACGCTGCTTATTCGATTTTATTGGCGCGTGATTTCTTGTAATTTCCCTTACGCTTTGTTTATTGCCATTGTCCTTTGACAAGCGTTGCGATAAATCGCTATCTTAAGCTGTCGCACAGATGCTTTAAAGATGCTCGATAGATATTTATATTGTATGCCATAACGTGCCTTATCTATAGCTACACGGATTTCCTCTCTCTTCAAGCAGCGAGCAGCAAGCATCAAGCCCCAAACACCTACGCATGCCCCTTGGCTTATGCAACACTTTCGTTGCTGGCCCACTTACCTTTTTACTTGAGTGCTGGTAATATCGGCGCGGATGCAGCGCACACATATATCTGTCCACGGCCATGCAAACGAGTATAACGGCACTCTGCTGCGAGAGTGCGCCACGCAGGAGGGCCTGCAATAAAAACGAGATATATAGAGATAGTTAGTCTTTAAATAAAATTCCGCATGGCGGCGAATAAAAGCGAATAATTTAATATTTTTGGCATGCATAGAATTTCAGCGCGACTCGTTCTCCTTTTGCCGCTGACTTTGCGGCCGTTTTGACCGCACAGCGAAAACCCTTTGGCTTGAAAATCTAATCAAAATGGGCTTAATAAAAATTGCGTTCTCCGCGCTTTGCATACAACAATTTCTACTGAGCGCCGCGTTTATTTTAAAACCAGTATGAAATATTTTTCCTTTTTAATAAGAACATGTTTGCTGAAGTGGCCAAGGAAACGAAAAGTGCTTCACTTTAAAAACACAGAACAATTTAGTTTTGAAATGAGTCGCCTTGCTACGTCATGAACTTAAGTACACTATGCTTTAGATTCGAATGGATGTATAGCCTTCATTATTTGTAAATCATTTAAATTGCAAGCTTTCCATTTGATGCGGAACAAGGGATGAATCAAAATTCAGCTGTCTTTTTTTCTTGAATTATTATTATTTACTTTGTCCTTTATTTTAAATTAAAACTCGTCGTATTACTTTAAATTGATCTTGTTCTTTTTCTTATTCAAAAAGATGCTGTTTATGGCAGAAAAACGCCTTTTCTGACCCGATTTTGTTTTAAAAAAAATGTGTACCGGTTTTTTGGAAGAAAACACATATGTTTTTGTAAAGTTTAAAAACGCATGTAAGGTAGAGGTATTATAAATTCGGGGCGGTATTGAAAAACTCTTACAATTTACTTTTGGGGATCACAATGTAAATTGCAACATTAATTTTATGCCCTTCAATTCGACTCATCGATTTAATATTTTCATTTGAATTAATTTAGTAAATGTCGTATGCAGAGGGGTCTTAAGTGCATGCAGCTTGGCTGATTGGATAAACATTTGCTCTTTAACTATCGGGCTTGTTTCAAATTATTCGATTGACAAAACCCAAACTGAACTACAATCTGTACATCTGCATTATTATAGCCTGTACCCAAAGGGTGAAAGGCTATACTAGTTTTGTGCGCATGTATGTAACACACAGAAGGAGGCGTGGCAGACCCCACAAAGTATATATATTCTTGATCAGGATGAGAAGCCGAGTCGATATAGCCTTGTCCGTCCGTCCGTCTGTCCGTCTGTCTGTCCGTATGAACGCAAGGATCTCAGAAAGTATAAGAGCTAGAATAACCAAACTTGGTTTCCATATTCTCCTAAGACCGAGAAAGTACGAGTTTGAGTTTTTTTTCGATGCACCCCCCCCACTCCCCCGCAATTCGTGTTTTTTCTTATAACTTCCGTAATTCTCGGAATTTTGAAATCAATTTTGGTAGGTACATCCAGTTAGTAATAATGTGTCCGTACTCCAAATTTCATCATGATAGGTCAATTCTGAAGAAAGTTATAGCCATAAGTAAAATCGCTGCTCATGCGCTGCCTGCAGCTCTGTCGGCAGCGCTGCCCGCAGCTGTTGTTGTTGTTGCTGCTTTGGTTCAACTTTGTGCTGCATACATACACGCATGTAAACACGCATAGGTACGTGATGTAAATGTATGCTGTTAAAACTGAACATAAACATGTATTCTAATTTAATTTAATTAATTAATTCATTCATTCATTTTTTTTAATAATTTAATTTTTTTTTAATTTTTTTTTTTTTTAATTTTTTTTTTTTGTGGAGAGTACAGGCTATTTTACTGTCGGGCTTGCTCGACTGTAGCGTTCTATCTTGTTTTAAACAATGTTAAGATGGTCCAAAAAATTTAATGATCATTATACCAGTGAGCTAGAGTTCTTTTATAAGGCCTCGGCTTGAGTACTGCTGATGCCATTGGTGTTCCCAGATTGAAAGCATCACGATTGTACGATCGGTTCAGAACAAATTCAATTCGCTCAACCTACTTAAGCAGACTTCTTATTAATATTCCGTTAAATTTTATAAATGGTTCCTTTACAAAGCAATTATTCCTTCTTATTCCTTCTCTTAGCTAAATTGTATTTCTAAATTTTAAGGTAAGTCTACAAACGTCAGATCGTCAGATGCACTTGGCTGTAAATCGGGGTATAGCTGTTAAAGTTAACATTTTTCATAAGAAATTAATATATTTTCATTAGACTTGTTCTATTAGGGATATAAGACTTATACAACTTTTTTATCAATGTTGTCAAAGTAAACCAATTAAAACAATTTTGTGTAACCTCTGCGAAATGTAATTGAAAGAATTTATTTCAACATATTACAAAAAATACGTTAAATATAAATTATGTAATTATAAACTTTATTACTTTAGAACAACCTTTAGTCTGATTGATTATAATGCGCTATTATCTTTTAATCCAGTCAGCCATTTCACACACCACATATGATAATCAAGTTATCGAATACCATGCTCGTCAACGTACCACAGAGTAAAATATTGACGTTCATTGTGGATGTTGATGTGATCAAACAGGATATGCCCATTCCCTTCCTTACAGCCATTAGTTGTCGTGCGTCGTGATAACTTAATTGCGAACAACAAACTGGCGTATTATGCAACAAATTAACACATTCGCCGGCCATTGTGTGCGCGGTACTCCCCCTTGTTGTGATTCACTCACCTGTATCTGACAGAATATCTCGCCGTATGGCCAACAATGAAACAATGCTGGCATTAGGCCGAACGGCGTAATTAGCAGACCGATTGTCAGGTCATTTAATGCCAACGAGGTGAGTAGATATCGCGGCTGAAATGAAATAAAACGGATATTAGGGTGTGGGGAGCTCACCCCGCATTCTTTTCAATTTACCTGTTGGTGTATATAGGCGGAGTAGCGTCGATTGTTGATGACAAAGATGACCAGGCAGTTGGCACCAATTACGCCTAGCGTAAGCACCAGAATGAGCACCGCCTCGATGGTCTCGGCAATGCCAATGTGCACAATAAAGTTGTGGCCCGAGTAGCGCGGGTGGGAGCAACTGGAGTTCTTAACCGCGGGCGCCACAAGCAATGTGCCAGTCTTTAAGTCCATTGCAGTGCTATATGCAGGAGAAATAGCGAAAAAGAGGAGAGTTAATTTTGATTTGGCGTATCGTTCGTTGGCTTGAAGGATTGAAGCTTCTCCTACCCTGAAAATTTTCTGCTCTAGCGAATCGCATTTGAGATTTGCTTTTGCATGTGCAAATATTCAAAATGGTGGCAATTTGTTTCGCCATAATCAAGTCAAAACATGCGCCAGCATCGTTGCAGCGTTGACAATTTATCTGCTGTGGTTAAGAGAACGTTGACGACCACAAACACGACTACGATGACACCAAGGCAAGCCGCAGCAACACACACACACACACATCCAAACATCCACATACATATGTATATGTGCACGCACACGCATTCTGTTTCTCTGTCACTGTCATTGAAAGCCACACGCAGTCTAGGACTCTGCGACTGGCGCCAAAAACGGGCAACCATTCGCAATATGGCGACGCTTTAAAACCGCGCCCATTGTCCAGTGACATAATGAAACTTTACAGGATAATTGGATGATTTCGTTTCTTTGACTTTTTTGTTGGCATTCAGTTTTGGCTGGCACGATAAATCAAAAATGTTTCGGACGCGCTCTACACTCGCAGTGGCGACGAGCCTGGGCAGACTGATGAGGAAAACTGCTTGCTGACTGACGTTGATGTCTCTGTTATTTTAGCTTTGTCTTCTTCTCTTGTCTGCCCAAAAGCGACATTGAGAAATGTTACATCCCCAAGAGGCAGAATGCACAGCGACTTGTTGTGAGCCTGAGACGAGTGCACAGCAGCTTACTTTAAAGAGTTGCTCTTGTCTACGCATAGAAAAAGTCGTGAAAATTCAAAGTAGTCTATCATTTGTTTAAGTTTGTTTTTCGGTTTCCTTTTCCGTCTCGTATTTGTTTATTAGGTTTGCTACGCAAACGAAAAAAATATATACAAGTATGTATATCTGAGGGTTGTGCTCTAGCTGTTGGGTGATTTATTGTTCTACGATGGCGGACACAGAGGCCACGGAGGCCACAGTTTTGTGTGTTTACGTCAAGTACACAAATCACTGCATGAAATATAAATGAACGGATAGCATTAGGTCCACTAGCCCAGGCAGGATTTAGAGCGGCAATGTCGCCAAAAGTGATTTCGAATTGCATCATGAGGATCAGATGCTTATCTAAATAATCCATTTGTTTTGGCAAAACAGTCTTGAGAATGTTTAATTGCCGGCTAGTCTGGACAAATGGAAATTCGAAAACGTAGGTGATATCTGCGTTATCAATTTTAGTAACAATAAAGCAATAACACAAGAATTTGTCTTGTTAAATTGAAGTAAGTCGATATTATGTAATTGGAATTACTTTGGACGAATTTGATTAAACTTTGTAGACATTTTTATCTCTTATACTTGTATATTTGTATATATGTGAAGTCTGGCGTTATCGAAGTGCCAACTGCGTTAAAATAATCGAACCCGAAACAGAATCAAAGAAGCAGAAGGAGGAGCAGAGGCAGAGGCAGCAGCAGTGGCAGCAGGGTCAGGAGCAGATGATAAAAGTATACCCGACCCGTTCTGGTGTCAAATGCGAAACCGCGTAATTGTTTTAAAATGCACAACGAAAAAGGCAATAAAAGTGAGCAAAGGAAGTAGTGAAGTACGAAAGGGTGGTGCACGGAAATGCACGCCATTTAAATAAACGAAATTTTCATTCGCATTGCAAACCAGTTTTTTGTATTTGTTTTTATTATGTTGTTGCTATTTTTGTTACTCTTGCATTACATTTTGTTCGCTGAACCAGCACAGAGCGGTAATCATCAAGGTTGCTGGCTGTGTCAACACCCATCACACAACAATTACAACAACAGCACCAACAGCACGAACAGCAACCACAAAAACTACAAGAGCCGACAACCAGCGTCAGCTGAACCGGAGCATCGCCAAAGACAAATGCAGAATAAATAATTTAGTTGTAGGATTAGAGCCACAATCCGCTTTTGAATTTACACTCAAGTTACTTCCATTAGTGGCATTTTGGTCGCTGCAATGCAAGCGAAACTATTGCATATCATTAGGAATTTGGCGAGTGCCGCCATTCAACACTCCTCAACAAAACTAAAAGCTATTTGGAAAATCCTTAAAAACAGACTTAATGGTGATTAATTCAATATTTAAAAAAATATATTTAAATATGTACATTTTTTTCGTGATTTATAATTCGAAATAATTTTAGAAAATGCTAACATAATAGCAGCTTACCACTGCAGCTTTTATAAAAAGTACAAATTTTTATTTAATTTCAGGCTGTTGTAAGATGGCATAAAATCGAAATAGTACTTATCATATGATAAAATATCACTACGTATTTAACACATGAGCATAAAAAATACATTTCTTCGTACGTAGGTTTTTAAATTTAGTAAAAAACCAAAAAATTTATGATATTGTATTGTTAATTTCTAATATGTCAACGTAAATTTTAATCGACGTTAAAACTTTTACATTCTCTGCTAGATTTCTCATCCAACAAAATATTTAAATCAGACTATTAATCGGCTAAAAGACATAAACATAATAAGGATGTTGGATTTACAAGTAAGACTTTATGCATCGGCAGAATCGATTTGTGGCCCCACACAGCCAATGTAAGCACAAGATGCGTCCAAAAGTTAACTTTTGGAGTATTAAATATTTTCTAAATGACGACAAACATGTTGGCCTAAATGGCTAAAAATGTTTGATTGCAGAGTGGGTGAATGCATCAAATATTGAAATTAATAAAAATTAAACATCTGCAAAACATAAAATCCGTTTTACTCCTATTTTCAATTTATTTTAAAAATTGTTTGGAAAACATATGCCACAACTTGACATTACACTTTGTATGTCGGTGCAGGTGTTATGGTTCTGTTTTAGTTACCATAGCCGTTGCACGTCGGTTTTACTGGCATAATCCTATGGCAAAGTTATAACGTTGCCTTGCCTAGGCGCAGCCATGTCTGTCTGTAATTGCCGCGCCAAATGCAAAAGAAAATAAAAACTCAAGCCATGCAGCCACATAGGGCCAGCTAATACCCATCCACCATTACAGACAGACACATCCACAAATACATGACCGTGTGGGTGACTGAAAGGGGACGCCAATTTTATATTCACAGGACGTTTTGTCTACGCAACGGATCTGCACGTGTGCATCTGTGTCTGTGTATGTGCGTGTGAGTGTGTGTGTGTGTGTGTGTGGACGTGATCTCCGTGCGTGCGTGTTAATGTACGAAACTTTGTCGACCGCCCATCATTTCCATTTCCTCTCCCACCTCCATGCATTTTCATGCACATTTACTTCCATTCATTCATCACATGAAAAGTTTGAAGCGGTTACCAGCGATGTACTGTGGCTTTGTTCTTAAGCCAGTACTGAGTGTGTGTGCAATGCAAATGCAAATGTTCAGCGCTTTTTGGCAGCAGGTTTTTTATTTGTTTTGAATCCCATTTGACAGCACATCCTGGATTATTGATAAGATTTACTTCGAAGTGCCACTTTTCGCACATGGACCAGAATTGATTGCACATTTGTTGCAGCAGGCAGTAATAAGTAGCAAGTCATTTAAATAAAATGGTTGTTGGTCTGCGGTAGCTGTGGCTATATTTCATTCTGACTAGCTTAGCATTTACTTCATAATTTTGGCGCATAGAATCAATCAGAACCATACGGTTCAGAACTTGAGGTTAAACGTAATTTAGATTAAATGTTAAATGCTCTTGATTGATTTTAATTGAATTAAATTTCAATCAAGCTATACTGAAATACTAATTGAGACTCAACTCCAAGAACTGTAACGTTATTTATAGTTGCACGCAATGAACGACTAAAATTCATTTTATTAATGGAGCCTAAGAATCAAGAAGCAAAAAATAAACTTTTCAAATTTTAATAACTATTAAGAGATGCACTCGTAAGAGTTTCCCCAAACTTGCGAAAAGTCATAACGTAAGTTCAATTCCATTAACGGGATGCAATGTGCTTGAAAATTAAATATTATTCTCGAGCAAATACGAAACGACGCGTCGTTAGGGAAGCGTCGACAACAACACTCACATGCTATAAAAGTATATACAAGTACTGTCGCTCCCACACTGCATGCTTAAAATAATATTAAATAATAAGCAAGTGTAGACGCATGAAAGACAACCGACAATGAGTATGTGTGTGTGTGTGTGTGTGTACGAGTGTGTGCTCAGCAAATTTGTTTTCATAATTCATTTGCTCTGCGTTACTCTGTTGATTTCAATTAGACGGGCAACAAATCAACACGTATACGTCATGTTGTGCTAAATGAGTTAAAACTTGTCAGCAACGACATTAACGGGAACATCAATTAAACATCATCTGCAACTGACGTTTGAAAGTCCTTGGCACACAATTCGACTGAGAAGGAATCTTATTTGGCTTGTTTTAAATTGCAGACAGACCCCATAAAGTATATATGTACGTGAGGGTTTTGTTATAGATTAAGTTTAAAGTTATGAAATAATATAATTAAGTAGGTTTACAAAGTAATAAACATCGTTAAGCATTGTTAAACATTGTTAAATATTGGCTTGTTGATGGACCGTGTGTCCTTTGGGGCGATTTGAATAGAACTTGTGTAAACGTCCTTGAATTGTCTAATCGAATGACCCACACGCTGCCCGTCGTAGCTTTGTGTGAATACTCTTTGCTCCTTTTGCTGTCACCTCTTACTTATTTGCAGAACTCAATGCGAGCGCTGTCTATCAACTTATTTTCGCTTTCATCGATTTTTTTTGGCTCCGTTATATTTCATTTTTTTCTAGGGCTAGTTACAAGTTTGGTTATTCTATACTTTCTGAGATCCTAGGGTCCATTCAGACAGATAGACAGACAGCCAGACGTGCCTATATCGACTCGTCTTGTTATACTGATCAAGAATATATACACACTCCTCTGTGTGTTACATACTTTCTTACTGCTTAGTAAGGTTTAGTGTAATCATTTGGGTACAG